CCCTTACATAAATCTATGGTAGTGAGATACTGGCCTCGTGCCATCTTTTCCAGCAGCTCGTCTATCCGGGGCATCGTGTAGGCATCAGACACCGTTTTGTCATTTAGCCTCCGGTAGTGCACACAAAACCGGGTTGTACCATCCTTTTTAGGTACCAGGACTACCGGCGATGCCCAGGGGCTATCGGAATGTTCAATAACCCCTAACTGCAACATCTCCTCAATCTCCTTCCACATGTGTTCCCTGACTGATTCAGGGATCTGATAGGGGGTCTCCCCACTCTTCCCCACCCGCTGGCAAATGTCACAGGAGGTGCAGTAATGCCTCACATCCTTGGAGATCCCTGGCCAGAAGAAGGCGTGGGTCAGCCGATAACGGGTACGGGTCATTCCTAAATGCCCAGACAAGGGGATATCATAAGCAGTTCTTGCCTGTACTTTTGGGGGACCACTAACTGTTTAGTGGTTACTGTGACGGATACCCCTATTACTCTTTCTGCTACCTGATATAACAGCCCTTTCTCCCAGATATACCGCTCCCCCTCTAATCTGACCTGGTCTGTGCTCACCCTATCCCGGTAAACCTGCAGCGTGGGGTCTGACTTAACCTCTGCCTCAAATGTAGTCGGGGTGTCCCAGGTCATACGGGTCATATAAGGGTCATGGTCTCTTACCTGAGCCTCAGAGTGCGTTGGTGGAACCGTGGTGCGAGCCTGCTGCCGGGTAGTCACAGGATGTGCTTCTTGAAGATGGGCCTGGGGTATAAATGCAGAGGTCATCCAGCCCATGTCATTTCCCAGTACCACATCTGCAGGTAACTTTTTCATGATGGCCACTTCTACTACCCCCTCCCCAGCGCCCCAGTTCAAATGTACCTTTGCGGTGGGCAGGCGGTACATTGCTCCCCCTGCCACCCGCACTGCCACAGATCCGCCAGTGTGAGCTGTATCCGGAACCTAATGTGGAGCTACCAAAGTCAGTGTGGCTCCTGAGTCACGCAGTCCCTGTACTTCTTTGCCCTCCACAGTCACTAGTTGGCGATGATGTTGCCGGTTGTCAGTGGCTTGTACGGACATCACTTCATGCAGTATTCCCAGGGGTTCCTCTGCCTGAATGCCCAGCAGCTCCTGGGTGTCTGATTCCACTTGGTAGTGATGGGCCGCGGCCCTAGGTGCTGGGTTCTGTCGTACTTGGTTCCAGGCTTGTCGGCTCCTGTTCTGAGTGCATTCTCTAGACATATGTCCCCACTGTCTGCAGGTATGGCACTGGATGTTTGCCCTGCCGTTGTAGCGGGAGGGGGGTGGTTGGTTCCCCTGGGTCGGCCTAAAAGGAGCGGGGGTGGAAGTCGGGGTTGCGACTGTACTGGGTTGTACAGTGGGTCGAGGGTAGTTCCGATTGACGGGCCCGTGATGCCCCCGTGTTGATCGGCCAATCGGGCTGCTTCAGGTAGGGTGAGAGGTTTGCGGTCTCTCACCCATTCTTGGGCTTCTGGGGATAATCCATTAAAGAATTGCTCTAACAACATTACTTGGCGCAACTCCTCCATGGTGGTGGCTTGACTCGCCTGTATCCACCCCTGCGATGCTTGGTCTAGCTTGTGCGCCCATTCAGCATGAGAATCTTTCTCCGGTTTGCGCAATCCTCGGAACTTGCGCCGATATGCCTCCGGTGTGATGGCGTATCTCTCAAGTATAGCCCTTTTCACCTTTGCATAGTCTTTGCTGTCTTCCCTGGGGACAGCGCGATAGGCTTCCGCTGCCCGACCAGCCAGTTTGCCTGCCAGCAACGGCACCCATACTGCCTGTTCTAGGTCATGTAGGTCACATAGCCTTTCAAAATCCTGTAAGTACCCATCAATCTCATCCTTCTCCTCGCAAAACATTTTGAAGTCATGATAGGGAATTTTAGGCTTTACCTGACCGTAGATGGAGGCAGTGATGGATTCTGCCCTGGACGGTGCTTCCTGTGGGTGGTGTGCCATCACGTACTCCTGCACATCCGCCATCAGGACTGTCAAGATTTCCAGGGGTACTGGCTGTGGTAGAAACTCCATCCGGGTTCGCATCTCCCTTTGGTATGGGGTTTCTTCCCTGGCTGGTGGGGGTGTGCTGTTGTGAGCTCTGTCTCCCTCCATTAGTTCGGCGATCAGCACGGCTTTCGACTTGTTGCTGGCTATCTTCCCTCTGGCTTCCAGCAGTTCTTTCAGTGTCTGCCTTTTCAGTGTAGTGTAATCTGTCCCCATTCACTTTTCTCTTTCGGTTGTTTGCTGCATACGAATTGCCATTCCCTTTTCTCGTTCAGTAGTTTCTCTTTATCCGAACGGTGCTTTTCGGCTGTAAGGTTGGATCCCGTCACTTGCCACCAATTGTAGCGGAGCGGCAATATTAAATCCCATGCACTCTGCTGGTAAAGAAGGTAATCCACAGTCAAGCGCTGAAAAGTAAGGCAATATCCCAGATCCCCCAGTAACCGGACGAAACACAGTTCTGGGAGTCAACTCAGGTTTTTATTCACAGCATCCAGTATTTATGCAAGTCCCCATGCAAGGGGTTTCCCTATTGACATAGCAGGGGTAACACAGTAGGGGACTACATGGGGGACTTAACATTCTGGGCATTCCTCCCATCAGGCACTGCTGCACTAGAGGGATACTCCCACTGGAATATACCGTTAAGTGGATTATCCCTCCGTGCAGCAAAACCGGCAATTCACTTTAAAATATATAACTTTTGCAATACTTGGTCTATTTAAACGAATGGACGTTCGGTAGATAGCTGGGGTCTGAGCGCACAGTTCGTGAGAATACCGCTCAGATCCCAGCTAAAACAACCGAACGCCGCACGAAATACACTTTGCTATTGAGTTCGCCCCAAAGTACCGAACACCGATGGGGGAACCCTAATAGCGAAAGACCGTTGCTCCCGAACGGCCTGGAAGCCCAGCGGTGTTCGCACCGTCGAGTAGCCGTTTTCAGTTCCATGCGCTCGACGACCAAACACCGCTGGGGAGAAAAAGGATCCAAGATGGCCGACTGCCGCGTGGTCGGTAGTCGAACGACGAACACCTAGGAGAGCCTCTAATTACCGATTGCAACATTGTTGCAATCGGTTAACAAGCGCCACACGTCTCTTAGTGTGTGGGCTATTAAAAGATAGTTCATTCGGTTCACGAACAGCCCGCAGTAAGGCTATCTGCTTTCGGCAGATAGCGGACAAAGTCAATCAAACATACAGGACTAAGCAGAATACAGCCAGGGCACATATGAAATCACAATAAAGATGCAGGCAACCTTTTAAATCATATTGTCCATGTTAGTCCAAGTGGCTAGGTTTGCCACAGAAGCGAGTTCCAAGGAACGGTGCAGCCCTGGAAAAGTCTTGAAGGCGAGCATCAGAGTTGGGAGTACGGACAGAAGATAGACGTAAGTCTTCAGCAGATCGTAAGGGCCTAGACGGGACATACTTGTGTATAAGGGAGGATAGATAGGTGGGAGCAGCATTATGTAGAGATTTGAAAGCAAGAACCAGAATTTTAAATTGAGCTCTATATTTTGTAGGAAGCCAATGTAGGGATTGACAGAAGGGTGAGGCATGGGAGGTGCAGGCGGACAGGAAGATGAGCCTCGCCGCCGCATTCATTATGGGCTGTAACGGCGCAAGTTGGGAGCACGGTTTAAAACATGTCTTAATTGAGTTATGGCTATCCTGTATAAAAAAAAAGTAACATCTAAAAAAATGAACATGAGTACTCTGAATCTCACAAACTTCAGTACACGTTCATTTTGATTGATATAAACCAAAAAATTAGATAGACTATCCCTTGGACCAACCGAAATGAGGAAAACATCATTGATAAATATTTTCCAAAGCAACAAGTTCGCCTGTCAGTCATGCTCCATCCAAATATACCAATCCTCCCAATTGGCCTTTGGTTATCTATCACTGTATATAATGAGGGTATGTATACTGTAGCCCATAAACAAGTGTTCTTCCATTGTAAATATTTAATTATGTTCAAAATGTGGCCAGTATCTTTTATGTAGGCTCTAGTTAGTGGAACTTGTGAAGAAAAAAAATCTACTAATTGAGACAAATTTGCAGCAAGGGAATCAATTCCATTTACAATTTGTCTTCCAGATGGGATTAGGATAACATTTATGGACTTTTGGCAAGTTATAAAAAATAACCAACCTAAGGTGTTCATTATAGAAAAAGCAAAATGTGTCTTTATTAATAATTTTCAATCTTCTGCCTCTTGTTAACAATTCCTTTAGTGGTATGATCTTTCATTAATACAACATAAGTGGCCCTATCACCTAATAAACATTGTGCCTCTTGCACATTTTTTTTTTTCTTTTTATCACTACAATACCATCCCCTCCCCCTATGTCGGTCTACTTAAAAATGATATCTTGTCTATTATATAAGTATAGGATCAGAAATGCACATTTGTGTTCCTGACCCTATAGTGTTCCTTTAAACAAGGGGACAACATGGAAGATTTTTTGAGTTCTAAACTCTGGGTGATGCATTACTGGAAATTTGTTTAATATAAAATATTGCATTAATTGTTTATCTAAAAATGCAGTTCATCTGCTCTAATTCTCCTGTGGTGTCTAGGGTGCGGGACGTACAATTAGACTTGGAATGAAAGCATACTGGAACATCTCCGGGCCATTGAAAGAAGGAACATTAAACACAATGTTTGAGACATTGTGATCAATGTCCACGATTTGATTTTAAAAGATTTCTGTTTGCTGGGATAGATCTGGTCCAACGGGATATCGGGTGGGGGGGAAGGGGAATATTATTCAAAAAGTATTCCAACAAGAAACTATGTGGATTCACAGACTTGAGGCCATCCTTTTGGTGGAGAATGCAGCTGTTTGCAGTCTTGATTATGATGTGCATGTATTTAAGGAGAAGGAGTGGACTTTAATTTGTCAACAGGTCTCCAGCTTTTATTGGCGCTCTCGCAGCTACAGCCTTCTTTGAGTCCTAAACAGATGAAAACGGTTAGACTGCATCTGCACGGCTATTCCCGTTATCTTCTCGCTATTGGGTACAGTGGACATTCAGTAACATTTCCTCCACAAGCGAACTTCAATTTCTCTGTGGCTTTGTACCAGGATCCGGACCTGCCTACTTGCACAGAACTTTATTCCACACATAGCTGGAGGGGTAAATTGACCATGCTGCCTATATATGCCTGTTCCTACACACCAGCATTTTATTTCTCTATAACTGCCATATGCATGTAATTGTACTTTGCCTTGTAGGATTTTGTACTATGTTTTTTTCCCCCCTTTTTGTAGCATATTAAAGCATACAAAAAAATCTGATCTATTTTATATTAGATTCTTAATATTTTAAGGATATATTATCATCATATTTATTTAATGTGATTGCATTGGGCATTTAGTTTTGTCTTATAGCCATCCCAGGCAGTTTCTGGATATTATATTCTGCACTCAGGGGCTGACATTTCAATGATGAAGCTGGCTGCTACACATTGCACAAGGAAGCAGACTGCACTGACAGCATGGCCAACATACTGGGTCTGGGAGGCATGGGGAGTATATATCATATGTATAATTAACTGTGTGTATTAAAGTGTGTAGTTGTGTGTGGGTATATAGGATTTTGTAGCACTGTGTATGCATATTTCTGTGAGTACAAAGCTACAGCTCCAATGAGAGAAAATGACTCGGCTTGTGGCCTCCAGGTCGGGTACATATTTACATACTATTGGAGTACATTTTAAATACAATGGGAGGGGATTAGACAACATAATGGAAACGATTCACAATATATGTGCAATACTTTGCCTAAAGAACACCTTCATTACTTTATATAAAATGGATACCGTAAGCACTATAGCTTAATGTAGTGGTTCTGGTGTCTATCACCTGTCCCTGCAGGCTCAGCAATAAAAATGCTGCCTTTTCAGAGATAAGGCAGTGTTTACATTACTGCCTAGTAACACCTCTAGTGTCAGTCACTCAGACAGCCACTTAAAGGACCACTATAGTGCCAGGAAAACAAACTTGTTTTCCTGGCACTATAGGGTCTTTAGGTCCCCCCCACCCTCAGGGTCCCACTCCCGCCGGGCTGAAGGGGGAGGAAGGGGTTAATCACTTACCTTTCTCCAGCGCCAGGCTCCCTCGGTGCTGGGGAAATCTCCCCCTTCTTCCGACGTCAGCGCTGGGCTCCCTCGGCGCTTGGGAAATCTCCTCCCTCTTCCCACGCGCGCGCATTCAATCAGTCCATAGGAAAGCATTACTCAATGCTTTCCTATGGACGTCAGCGTCTTCTCGTTGTGATTTTCACAGTGAGAAGCGTGGAAGCGCCTCTAGCGGCTGTCAATGAGACAGCCACTAGAGGCTGGATTAACCCTAATGTAAACATAGCAGTTTCTCTGAAACTGCTGTTTACAGCTGCAGGCTTAACCCTAGATGGACCTAGCACCCAGACCACTTCATTGAACTGAAGTGGTCTGGGTGCCTATAGTGGTCCTTTAAAGTTCTTCCTATTTCAGTGATGTAGTGCAACCAGCACTTGATTCATAGCATCTCCATGAAGAGATGCTCATTGGTACAGCAAGTCATTTTGCCGCACATGCGTAATAGCCTCCTATAGGCTGAGATCATCAAGATCTCAGTCATGCAGGCGGAGCCATCAACGGTGCTATAGAAAAGTTATATAAAATACTTTTTATCTCCACTCTGAGGGGGGCAGGGAACCTAAACTGGTACGCCAGCACTATAGCGTTAGGATAAAATGTTTGTATGCCTAACACTATTGTGTTCCTTTATGCAAGGAGAGGAAATCTTTGAGAAAAAAAAAAAAGTCTTTTTAATTTTGGGTCCCTGATGAAGGTACCTTAGTGCACCAAAACATGTTGGGCTGCATCTTTGTTGATATAAGGGCACTATGGAAGCTTCTTGAATTGGTTTAGAAGATGGAGTTACTCTAACAGTTTGTAGGCAGGGTTGTTAATGTAAGGATAAGACTACCCTATTTTGTGGAACTTGGGTCAAGCCTACTGAATGGACACTGTAGGCACCCAGACCACTTCAACTGATTGAAGTGGTTTGGGTGCAATGTTCCATGTCCCTTAACCCTACAGTGGTAATTAGTAAGTTAATAATTACCTCTGAGGGTTAACTAGAGCGATATACTTAGATAAGAAAATAACCCCTCAATGAGGCAAATAACTTAAATGAGAGCTGGTCAGTATGGATAGTACCAGTTCTACCCTGGGCATGTTCCCTAGCAATATATAAACAAAATATTACCCGACATCCCTAGAGAGGGGGGATCTACTGAACTTAATATATAAGTTCCATCCAAGTAGCTCACTTTCTAAACACCATGACTTGAAATCTCCCCTCTCTAGGCATTTTGGGTGATATTTTGTTTAACTAGGACTTCCTGGTTTGAAACGGACCTTTGGTCCGGTATCTTACGCTGGACGTCCTCACGCTCTGCAGGAGGACTTCCAGCATCAGATTTTTCCCCGTAGGAAAGCACTGTGTACATTCCTATGGGTAAATCCTAATGTGAGCATGGCCATTGCCGCGCATGCGCTTTAGGTCTCCCTTGTCGGTGTGGGCGGAGCTTGACCAGCACTGAGGGACATCAGCGCTGGATTTAGGTAAGTGATTGAAGGGGTTTTAATCCCTTCAGCGCCACGGGAGGCGGGGGCGCGAGGGAGGGGGACACTGTAGGATTCTATTGTGCCAGCAAAACGGCTTTGTTTTCCTTGCACTATAGCATCTCTTTAAAGCAAGAAAGAATAAACAGAGTGTAATACCTGTCCTAAGAATTGGCTGTGCTCAACGTGGCAAAGTAAGCCGCTTTAAAAAAGGCAGAGTAGGAGAGTGGTCATATAGTCGAGCCAAAGATCACGATTACAGAAGTACACAAGGTCATAGTAACTACCCAAGGTGGGATTACAGAAGTAAAAATGCCATCAACAGAACTCCTTGATGGCATTACACACTTACAAACTCCCCTGCTACCTTGTATCTCAAATCCCCATTATATCCTTTAGAGCGGGGTTCCCAACCCAGTCCTCAAGTATCCCCCTACCAGTCCAGGATTTAGGGATTACCCTGTTGTGTCTAGAGTGTTTTTTTTTTTCTTTTCTTAAATATATATATTTAATATAATATATATATATTATTATTATTAACCTGTATATATATATATATATATATATATATATATATATATATATATATATATATATATATTATTATTAACCGGTATATATTATTATTAACCTATATATATATATATATATATATATATATATATAATTAACCTGTATATATTATTATTATTAACCTGTATATATTATTAACCTATATATATATATGTAGAAAGGCCATTAAGCCTGAATTTGTGGGAGGAGTAAGTCCCCTACTTAAGCTCCCAGCCCCTACTCACCGCTGCCGCTCAGCTGATTGTCCTTAGCAACCAGCACTTCCGGTCCAGCTTCCCGCCAGAACTGTACCTGTTTCCAGCAGCCAGACGCCCTGTGCAATCCTCCGTCCGTCCGAGGTCCTTCCACTCCGTTTCCCTCCGGTCGAGGTACCCGACTTCCGGTCATGAGACCGGCGCGTTCACGTAAGCAAGGCGTGGGAATTAGCGTTCGCTATTTTCCCCGCCGTTCGGGCCTAAAAACGTAGGGGTAGGCTCCCTCTTTCGCATTTTCACGAATACACGCTTTCGTTTATATATCTCCATTCGCGCCAAAAAACGCACGAACGTTCGGCTCATTTCGCTATCATTTTATGCTTTTTCGTACGGAAACAACCGAATAAATATTTCATGTTTAAGCTCATTATTATCTATATTCACTTTTCCGTTCGGTTATTTCAGCACCAACCTATTCGTATGGTTAATTCACGTACACTATTTTACTAATTTACATTCGGTTATTTCTATTCTTTTAAGATAAGCTGGCATAAGTTCTAATCACAGTCCTACTATTATTTATTCCTTTATATGAGTTTGCGGTTACATTATATGGTTAACTACCAGCCCTGTGTTTTTCTACCTTGTTAAACCATTTAAAGTATTTTTCTGTTATAAACATAATGTTCACCACGGTTCATAACTTCATACGTGTCTAAATTCAAGCTATAACATTCTTTCCTAATAACACTCAGATAAGTCTTTTTAAACACTATTTACAAGTTATACCCTTTACACATAATCCGTACTATTCCTTGCACATAAATCACGCTGTCACATCTTTTGGCTTTTACAGATTGCATCGGTCTCTTGCTTTTCTGCATTAAAGTTGTTATTTCAAGGTCCTTTTATTACAGGAACAGGTATGGTTTTTATCACCTTGAGTTATCAGGTTTTATCAATTATCTTCACATCTATTGCTAACTATGGTATATTTCTTGGTTAAACCCTTAGATCCTTGTACTAATCTAAGATTCCACCGTTTCTACGCAGTTAACCTGCCACGATTAAACAATCTCTGTACTTTAAACAAAGGTATAGTTCACTCTCTTTTCAATACTAGACCTCACGCGGTCTCAACTCCATTACTACCTTCCCTCAGGCTTACGCCCAGGATACGTTATCTCTTTACTACTTGTCTACACAGACTTTCGGTCATACGGCCACCAGGCTCAAGAAGACACCAAAAACCTGACACGGTACTCAGCCATACCTTCAGGTACTTACATCCTTACTCAAGTACGTCCATTCGCTACCCCAAGGCCTCATTCTGCCTTCTCACTCATATCCAAAATCATCCCATTCCTACACCTAAACCTCCCAGATCCCTCAATGCAGGATCTCACGTCGTGCCCCTAACAAACCTTCTCCCTATACTATTCATACGACATCACGATACGTATAAACACATCAACATCTGTCTTAAACCCCCAGGATTCTTCCTCAAAGACAACATTTAAGACAAGACTCTCTACACTTACCAGGAGGCTCCAGATACCATTTGCGACCAGTCAAGGTTAGTATCCACACACCATTCCAGTCCTCTAACTTTACACTTTAGCATACTATCGAACTGGCTATACGGCACAGGCTAATGCCTTAGCCCACCCTATCAGGAAATCTGATCCCGCGAGGCCTACCACCCCCACCCCACCTCAACACGGAGGTACGGCCCCACGCCCAAATCATAGTTATAAGCCTCGCATGCCTTACTACAGGGCTCTAGTTAGGGCCTCACCTGTCACGGCCACACGTTTTGATTTCTCTTATCGTCACCGAGAGGCCAACA